ATCCAAGTACTTCAAAACTGGATTTTCTAACATCTAATAAATGAAATTCCTGTTCCTTCAAAGTAGCATGTCTAGAACAGAGAGAGGGTATTACAATGTCCTGGGATCTATGAAAACTAGGAGACATTAGGCAAAAAAAACAGTGTCAGTTTTCAAGATCAATCTATCCTCAAATCTTGTAAATAAGGTTCTCTAATAGAGAGAGCCTGGATTTTGCTCACCCTACGAGCAGTGGTAAGCCCAACTGATTTTATATTTGCAAATATATTCTTTCCTCATCTCTTCCCTGAGGAAGCGCAACTGCGAAACATGTTGGAAATATATGAATTATTGCCACTATGAATATACAGAAAAGTTGGAAACATCATAACTTTTAACATGGCACATGGTTAAACGTAATTATATACATTAATGTGGCAATATTGAGACTATGTACATGTATGTTTTTAATGGAATCTATGGAATTGAGAATACATTTTTGAAATTGAAGTCTGATGCCTCATAAAACCCCACTTAAAAAGTTAAAAAAGTTTTAAAAATAAATTAAATGTAAAAATAATAAAAAAAATAGGATTTTGGTTCCACGAACCGAGCCACCCGCCGATTGAGGCGAGACGCCAGGAACCCCCAGCGAAGGCAGAGCTGGTGAAGCACCTCCGGATGTAGCATCCATTCTCCCGGGTCCACTGACTGGCGACTGAGATAATCGGCCTGCCAATTGTCCACGCCCGGAATGTACACGGCGGAGAGAGCCGGAACATGCACCTCCGCCCAAGATAGAAAGCTTTCCGCTTCCTGAGCCGCGGCCACACTTCGTGTGCCGCCCTGATGGTTGACGTAAGCCACGGCCATGGAGTTAACAACTTCCAAGCGCCTCCTCCCTGCCAAAAGATTGGTATCGGCAGTAGAGGAGTACCACTCTGCAGTGCAATACCAGAGGTTGGCACTGGATCTAGCGGCTTTCCTCCAGATATGGTCTGGGGAAACCTCAGCTCTCCCAGGTCCAAGAAGACTACTGTCCTCTTGGAGCATGCCAGAAATCCTTTGGAGGATTAAAGGTCAATGGATAGCTGAAGTCACCAGCCATGGGTGTTATGCCGCTTTACAGTCTTCATAAGGCTCTGAACAGGCCAAAATATTCTTTGATTTCCTCCAAGGGTGACTGACTTCTAAGTAGCATCTAGCAACTACTGTAGCCTGGATGAGGGAGCTTGTTACTACTCATGGACGAGTTAGAATAAAAAATGTAAGTGGCAAGTCTGGCTGCAGCCCTATACTGCCATCAGTACTACCAACTGGGTCAACTTGCCCCCAGTCTATCGATGTGGTGTAACAGACACCACTGATTACTTAAGAACACCATCTGATATGTTCAGTTTATTGATGTGGTCTAACATAGATACCACCCAATTATATAAGGACACTATACTATATGTTGGGAGCACGAGCAGCAGCCAGCTGCCGTAAATCTGGCACAAAGTTTACTGTTATAACATGGATGCTCGATAAAGAGGGAAGACATGCAAGAATAACCTTGTGAGGCCTACTAGTAGTTTGCAGGAGGGAAGTAAGGTATTGACACCATGGTACAACCCTTTAAACTACTTGTCATTGGCTTGGAGTTCTATTAACCAATCACCCCCAAGTAGTTAGCCTGTAACTGTGTAGTTGCAGCCCCAGACGTGTAATCCATTAGGGTTGCACTGAAGTAAGTACTGTCAATTTATACAAAGTAGTAACTCAGGGATATTTTAATGGCAAGATTACTAACTATATCCCAAACCAGTGATACTAAAGAGTAAAACTGTTCGTTCCGTAGAAGTATAGTTACACAGCCCAAAGAGAACGAACTGTGATGAAATGTAGATGCTGAGAGTCATACTACATCGTAACCAACAATGCTTCCAATCAAGTGGTAAATCGGGTATTCCGTACCTTGGTGGCTATATAGATACACCAGGTATGAAATTAGATCACACAGTTACTGAGGTTCATAACTACGTGACAACCAATAATACTTTAACCATGATGGGATCAGTTAGTCTGTAGATGGTGAGTTACACAACCCAACTAAGAACAAACCCATTACCGATACCCGGCTACATCATATTTGATGATGCATCACAAAAAAATGGTAATCCTGTCCTGTACAAGTACCCTCACAGAAGCAGTACATTGGTTATGTCGGGGACAGTATATTAATACCCACACATGAGGTATGTACAATACTGAGATCTGAAACGGCCTCCTGACCCAAAGATGGCTTCACTAAAGCAGTTGTTTGGGTATTTCAGAGACAGTACAGTAATACCAGCTCACAAGGTATACACCAGGACAGAGATTCACTGCTACTTCCTGAACCATGATGGTTCCACTAAATGATTTAAGTTATTCAGAGACAGTATAGCAATACCAATACATAAGGTATGTGCAAACACTGAGATTCATAACCATCTCATGAACCAATAATGTTTACATAAAAAGCAGTGAATTGGTCATCTTAGGGGCAGCAGCGTAATACCAAAACATTAGGTATGCCCAACACTGAGATTTAAAACTACCTCATGAGCGAAAGAGCTACCACTTAAAATAAATCGGTTTGTCTCAGAGACAGGATAGCAATACCAACACCTAAGGTATGCAATATTGCAAGTCTCCACCATCTCCTGAACCAATATCCTTTTACTAAAGCAGTAATTGGTTCATTTCAGACACAGTATGGTAATACCAACATAAGGTATACACATACCGAGGACCCACCATCTCCTGAACCATTACTAAAGCAAATAAATTGGTTCTCTCAGCGACAGTATAGTAATACCAATAAGCAAGGTATGCGCAATCACTGAGATTCCCAACTATCAGATGTACCTGTGACGCTCTCACAAACAGCAGTAAAATGGGTCATCATAGAGACAGCATAGGAACACCGATACATAAAGGAATGCCCAACTGCGATTCATCAACTATGGTGCTTTCACTAAAGCAATAAAGTGTTTATTCCAGTGGCAGTATAGTGATACTAAGACATAGTTTAGGTTTCCATGCTCTAACAGGCAAGTAAAAGTAAGTTCACTTAATTAGGGCTGAAGGAACATTCCCCAGCCCCCGCTAAGGCCAGAGCAATGATAGCCCTCCAGCTTATGAGATCACACCCAGCACAGCCAGGTGGTAAATCAGAGATGCCAACACCAACAAAAAACTTTTTAGCCCTAAGGCACAATACGTCTGCAGCACTATCAAGTTTTGATCATCACGCTCAGTCTCTCCTTGTGAACCATCTGGAAACAACCAGAGCATGCACCTAAAATTGGTGTGAAATAAGCCTCTAGTGCTTATGGACACACCAATGTTTATTTGCAAAAGGAGTCTGGAAAACATTTACCGGCCTAGGTTTGCCTTGCTTACACAGATAAGCTGTTGCCTATGACCCAAAGGCCTCACAAAAAACCATCCTTGGCTGATGATTTTCCTTACATATGTTTCAACACAAAAAGGAGATTGCCAAAAGCGTGAAATTGGGGAAAATCCCCAATACTCCGGTGTAACACTAACCCCAGTAGTGTAGGAAGGAGTAATTTGGTTGCCTATTGTTGGGGGTTGCTGCTTGCAGATTGAAAAGGTGCCACATCACTGGTGCCACATCACTGGTGGAACGACATATCACACATACAAAACGTGTGTTAAGAGGCACCACAACCCTCAGCAACCAACACCCAAAAGGAGGATCCCCTCCCAAGGGCCCCCCCCCCCCACTGTGCACTGCCCACAGAATGGGGGGTAGGAGGAAGGAGACTTCCCTCTAAGCCTCCAACCTTCCTTTGGAGCCATTAGTGTCCATGAATGACAGCAGAAATCAGGCTGCATGGTTTAGCACTGCCAACCAGAGGAAGCCTTGTGGAACACCTCATGTTCATGACTGCTTGTGTCTCCGTCCCTCGACCGTTGCTCTCCCTCCCTGGCATCTGTGGATGCTGGTGCCAGGGGTACTCACCACTCCATCGCATAGCTGTCCATTCAAGGAGGCCCTGGATGCTACAGGATATGAATATCCACAACATGGCAGCACACATAGGGAGCATGGATGGCAAACCGCCCCATTCAAGGCAAGGCAGAGGAGAACTCTGAGCCGAACCAAATGTGAGTAAGGGAAAGCTCTGCTAGAGCCGATATGCACCCGGGGATGGTTGCTTTTCCTCAAGCGGATAAGAAACCTCAGGGATAGATGGGGAGGGAGGGTCCCATAATAGAATAACCTGAAGGTTAATCCTCGGACAAGCCCAGGAATGCAACCCCCCAGGTCCACTGTCCCTGATTCATGGGGGAGCACACACTAGGAGGCCCCTGCAACTAGCACGCAGGCCTATAGAGAAAATAACAAACGGTTACGCTGCTCCTGTTAGGCCGGAGGAAACACAAAAAACTGAGGTGGTGGGGCTGTACCGCCCCTTTTATTTTACTTGTGGATGATGTGTTTCCTGTTTGGGTGGGTGGATTCTCTCTCTCAGATGCTGCCCTGGAAGATGACTTGGGAAAACATGCTAGGGTTTAATAACCCTTTAAGGGGTTAAAGCAGGACTAAAAAGTCTATTAAATAAATAAATTAAAAAAACCCACAAAATTGCTAGCAAGTAAGGTTTCATTACAGAAATGACTAGGTCTCTTCTGCCATAAAAGTTTGAGTAATCCAAGCACAGACTTTAACAAGAGCCTATTTGACATCTCAAAACATTACATTTGTATACGAACCAGCTAGTTGCTGCCGGGTTGTTTTGCAATTTAATGAAAAGCTACTGTATATGGACTGAATATTCCAGTAGAAGTCTGCTGTGTGGAAAACCCCACGCTCCAAGACACCTCCCCCCCTCCCCCCACCATAGTATAAACTTGATAATAAATGACAATGCAGACTTCAGTTCCACTTTACCAGGACTAAACATCAGATTTTGGATACACAGGTAAACTGGAAAACTAGAAATCTTTGTGCCCTTTCAACATACCAGTGTTATCAGCACAGTTGATGACAGCTCCCACAGGTAGACCAAGGGAGATGCGAAACTTCGCACCAGAAGAACCACCGCGTCCTAAAACAGAAATGTGTTACTCTACTAAATGCCAGTTTATAAATATCAAACGCATGTTTAATTAAAGCAAATATGTTGCACAAATCCATCCTATATTTATATTAACAGAAGAAAATGGCTTGAAACCCAACACGCATGTTCATAAACAAATAATCATTAGGTTAGATCAGGGGCGCCCACACCTTTCCGTCCGGAGATCTGTTGCAGATCGCACTGGACTGGAACGCAGGCACTAATGTGCCTGCGTTCCGGATGCAGGGAATTGCACTGCAGGCGGAGAACATGGCATGCCATTGACTTCAAAGCACCGCCCGGCTCCACCGCCACTGAATGCAGGGAGCCGGCCAGCTTGAGTTCTCGTTCGTTCTAGAGGCCGAACACTCTGGAACGCAGACTTTGTGGTGTGAACCAGCCCTCTCTCTTAGCCGTTTCTACCTGCTCTCTCCTCTCACTTTCTCTGATCTCTCTTTGCAGTCTCTCTCCTGTGTCTTTTCTTACCTCCACTGCAGCAGCTCCAGCGGTGCACGTGTGGCCGACGTTGCACACGGAGAGAGGAGCCCCGCCCCTTCCATCTGCGGCGTCTGACACATTCAGCTGCACCAGCATCGCGGGAGGACAGGACACAGGTGAGTAGGCCGATCGCGATCTACCACTGTTCACTTTGCGATCGTCTGGGAGATCGCGATCGACCTAATGGGCATCTCTGGGTTAGATGGTAAAAGATTTGCTTGTTTTAACCACCTGCCTACTGCCACATTGTAAAAATAATGGCGGAGGGGTGGACATTAATTTCTGGAAAGACGTCTATAGATGTCCTTCTCAAAGAGGCAGCTGCACAACTTTGTGTGTGTACAAAGCAGTCCTCTGAAAGCTCAGTACAGAGCCAATCGGTGCGGCTGGGTAATATGGCTCGCAATTGTGACAGGTGTGAGGAGTCATGACAGTGGTCAATAGAGGTGTACAGAATTTTTTTAGACCGCAAATTATTTTTTCGGTAACCTTTTTAAAAAAACATTTTATATTTGATTTTTATTTATTTTACTTTACTGTTGGGGGCTCTGGGAAAAGATCAGGGGTCTAAACAGACCCCTGATATTACCCTTTTGAAACAAAAGAGATTGAAGACAGAGTTCTGCAGCCTGTTATGAACAGGAAGCCTCAATACTTAGTGCTTCTGTTCATTCATAAACTGAGGAGATAGTATGAGTTACTATATCCACAATCATGAATGATCATCAAGTAATGTAGAGCACTTCATTCATAATTGGTGACACAGTAAGCATACTATGTCCAATGTTACTTACAAACGATCAGCTGATCGCTGAGTGTTTGTATACCACATACTGGCTCATCTGCCTGTCACAGAAGACTAAACCGGTGGTTCGGAGAGAACTCGGCCTGTGACACAGCTGACTCCTCCCCCACACAGCCAGCTTGGCCTCCTGTGACAGCTAACTCCTCCCCGCACTGCTCTCCATCTTGATTTGCTTGTCACAGGAGGCTGAGCTGGGCGGTGCAGAAGAGCTCGGCCTCCTGTGACACCACTGGAGACACCACCGTGCTCTCCCTCCTAGGTGTTGCTGTGTCAGAGGGAACACAGAGCAGCACCCAGTGGGGAGGAGAGAAACTAGAGATGCACCCCATTTTTTGAAGGAAAAAAAAAAGGTACATTTAGCATTTTGCCCAAAGTACCATTTTCGGACGAAATTTCGGTGCATTCCTATTGTGACTGTTTAAATTCATGATCTCTCCCTTCCTTAATTGTGAATGGGAGATTCAATGAATGATTCATCAGCAGCTGATTTGTCTATTCAGTGATCCTTCATGACTTTTTTAACCCTTTCACTGTCCCTCAGCTCTGATCTCCAGCCTGTTTCTGTATTGTGACCTGTATATTAACCCTTTATCTGCCTTATTCTAAATATCTGCACATTAACCCCTTCGTCTTCACCATTCCACTGTATGTGACCTGTACATAAAGTCCTTCGCCTCCTAATCCCTATGTATAAACCATGTGTTCCATCTAGACCACCATTACCAAGCTTCATGTTTTAACCACATCAATATCACCATGTTTCTTAACCACTTGAAGTCTGTGGTGTTAAACCCCCTTCCTGTCCAGGCCATTTTTCAGTATTCAGCGCTGCAGTACTTTGACTGACATTTATTCCATCATGCAACGCTGTACTGAAATGAATTTCATACAATTTTTTGGGGACAGATAGAGCTTTGCCCTTCGGTTCTACTGAACCGAAGGGGTCCGGGGCCGAAGCTAGCCGAAGAATAGGCCGAAGCTACGGCTAGATCCTTCGGCTGCTTCGTGAATAGACCCCTCGGACTTCACTTCTGCTTTTTGAATTGGTGCCTCTTCTGCCTGGCTGTTTTTGATTTCTGCTTGCCCTGACTACAACTCTACTTCATGTTCCTATGTGTTCCTGTGCACGACCTGCAAACCAGCTGCATATTCTGCACAGGTCCAAACTGAACCTCCCCAGAATCTCAGCAGTATCCAGACTGTCTTGAGATCATCCGCTGTGTCCGGACCCAGTGCAAGCACCCATGCCACTTTTTGTCCTGATCCCAGGAAGCCCTCTCATTGCCTCCACCACATACTTGACTATACCACATTTAAAGTGGTTGTACACCCAGATGCTCTCTTTTTTAAATGTTTTTGGATAGGGTACACAACAAAAAAATCAATACACATGGCATTAGCTGTAAAAAATGGCAGAGATACCTTTTTTTTTATTCCTATGATGTATTCCTAGGTTGCTTCTCCTTTACTCTGCATGGCCTAGTTTGGGGGTTGGGACTAAGCTAATCACACAATTGTGACTACTGCATGGTCTGTCATGCTGTCAAGCAGTATTATTACAGTGAGGCTCCCTGTAGGAGCAACTTTCAATTAATAGATCCATAGTAAGCCATGTGTAAATACGATTTTTCTTTCTAAAGACCAGTAGCATGTGCACAGTACAACAGTTGATGTAATTACTTGATAGTAAAAATCACAATAATCATTATCATCATCATCATCATCATCATATGTTTATAAACCATCATCATCAGCTAATATTGTGGGAAAGTGTGATTTCACATACAAATGGTGTTTACAATCTTTCAATTATCCTAATACAATTTATGGTAGCAAAACCAAATACTAGGTTATTTATGAATAACTGCAGTAGGTTTGATGCTGGCACTCACCTTTTCACCTATCAGTTTTACTATCTAATATCTCAAGTTACTGATGTCCCCATTTTCTGGATGACAGTGATCAAAGCCTGATCAAATGTAGGCCAGTGTGGGTCTTTTTTGTTTGGAGATCTACTTTTCAAATGACGAGCTCAATGAGATCAACCAATAAAAAAACACCTGCATTCAGGGACAGGAGAAGGCATGGCGGTGCATTGAAGTCAATGGCACTGCCGCCACGCCCCCTGCCCACAGTGCGATCCCCCGCACCCGGAACGCAGGCACATTAGTGCCTGCATTCCGGTCCAGTGCGATCTGCAAAAATGCTGCAAGCACTATTTTTGCAGATCGCACTGGACTGGAACGCAGGCACTAATGTGCCTGCGTTCCGGATGCAGGGAATTGCACTGCAGGCGGAGAACATGGCATGCCATTGACTTCAAAGCACCGCCCGGCTCCACCGCCACTGAATGCAGGGAGCCGGCCAGCTTGAGTTCTCGTTCGTTCTAGAGGCCGAACACTCTGGAACGCAGACTTTGTGGTGTGAACCAGCCCTCTCTCTTAGCCGTTTCTACCTGCTCTCTCCTCTCACTTTCTCTGATCTCTCTTTGCAGTCTCTCTCCTGTGTCTTTTCTTACCTCCACTGCAGCAGCTCCAGCGGTGCACGTGTGGCCGACGTTGCACACGGAGAGAGGAGCCCCGCCCCTTCCATCTGCGGCGTCTGACACATTCAGCTGCACCAGCATCGCGGGAGGACAGGACACAGGTGAGTAGGCCGATCGCGATCTACCACTGTTCACTTTGCGATCGTCTGGGAGATCGCGATCGACCTAATGGGCATCTCTGGGTTAGATGGTAAAAGATTTGCTTGTTTTAACCACCTGCCTACTGCCACATTGTAAAAATAATGGCGGAGGGGTGGACATTAATTTCTGGAAAGACGTCTATAGATGTCCTTCTCAAAGAGGCAGCTGCACAACTTTGTGTGTGTACAAAGCAGTCCTCTGAAAGCTCAGTACAGAGCCAATCGGTGCGGCTGGGTAATATGGCTCGCAATTGTGACAGGTGTGAGGAGTCATGACAGTGGTCAATAGAGGTGTACAGAATTTTTTTAGACCGCAAATTATTTTTTCGGTAACCTTTTTAAAAAAACATTTTATATTTGATTTTTATTTATTTTACTTTACTGTTGGGGGCTCTGGGAAAAGATCAGGGGTCTAAACAGACCCCTGATATTACCCTTTTGAAACAAAAGAGATTGAAGACAGAGTTCTGCAGCCTGTTATGAACAGGAAGCCTCAATACTTAGTGCTTCTGTTCATTCATAAACTGAGGAGATAGTATGAGTTACTATATCCACAATCATGAATGATCATCAAGTAATGTAGAGCACTTCATTCATAATTGGTGACACAGTAAGCATACTATGTCCAATGTTACTTACAAACGATCAGCTGATCGCTGAGTGTTTGTATACCACATACTGGCTCATCTGCCTGTCACAGAAGACTAAACCGGTGGTTCGGAGAGAACTCGGCCTGTGACACAGCTGACTCCTCCCCCACACAGCCAGCTTGGCCTCCTGTGACAGCTAACTCCTCCCCGCACTGCTCTCCATCTTGATTTGCTTGTCACAGGAGGCTGAGCTGGGCGGTGCAGAAGAGCTCGGCCTCCTGTGACACCACTGGAGACACCACCGTGCTCTCCCTCCTAGGTGTTGCTGTGTCAGAGGGAACACAGAGCAGCACCCAGTGGGGAGGAGAGAAACTAGAGATGCACCCCATTTTTTGAAGGAAAAAAAAAAAGGTACATTTAGCATTTTGCCCAAAGTACCATTTTCGGACGAAATTTCGGTGCATTCCTATTGTGACTGTTTAAATTCATGATCTCTCCCTTCCTTAATTGTGAATGGGAGATTCAATGAATGATTCATCAGCAGCTGATTTGTCTATTCAGTGATCCTTCATGACTTTTTTAACCCTTTCACTGTCCCTCAGCTCTGATCTCCAGCCTGTTTCTGTATTGTGACCTGTATATTAACCCTTTATCTGCCTTATTCTAAATATCTGCACATTAACCCCTTCGTCTTCACCATTCCACTGTATGTGACCTGTACATAAAGTCCTTCGCCTCCTAATCCCTATGTATAAACCATGTGTTCCATCTAGACCACCATTACCAAGCTTCATGTTTTAACCACATCAATATCACCATGTTTCTTAACCACTTGAAGTCTGTGGTGTTAAACCCCCTTCCTGTCCAGGCCATTTTTCAGTATTCAGCGCTGCAGTACTTTGACTGACATTTATTCCATCATGCAACGCTGTACTGAAATGAATTTCATACAATTTTTTGGGGACAGATAGAGCTTTCTTTTGGTGGTATTTAATCACTACTGGGGTTTTTATTTTTTACTATGTCAAGGAAAAATAAAAATTAAAAATTATAAAACATTAGTACCCAATTTTTTAGTAAAATATAAAAGGCGGGGTCCCGTCGGGTTAAAAGACATCGAACATGTCAAGCCTTAGGCCCCATTCACACTGCGCGATTCGCAAATCGCGTGTTTGTCGCGCAATTTGCATTTTGTCACGTGATATCGCGCAAATGCTTGCATTGAGCAAGCTGGAATCGCGGCAAAATCCGCTCCAAAAAGCAAAAAGGTCCTGCTGAAGCGACACATGACCCGCGACAGCAGGACCCTTTGCCTCATTGCAAAGCATTGAAGAGCGATATCGCGCGGTAAATAGCGGCGATATCGCGGGAATTACGGCGCGATAAATCGCTCAATGTGAACGGGGTCTAAAAATTGTGGGTGCGAAACCTCAAAATACCACAATACCCAAAACTGGCCACAGCGACGCTTTAAAAGCTTTTACTGCTCATCAGTTTAGTGTTATCAGTGATTAATGGCCCTAAAATTATTGCTCTCACTCAGACGTTCACAGTGATATGTAACATGTGAAGCGCAATTGTCGTTTTCGTGCGCTGGCGCATCAGACGCGTATTTACATCTATATGTGCACAAACATGGGGGTGGGGACTTATTACATTTTACACTTAATGTTATTGCTATCACATAGGGGATAACACTACCCCTATTATAATAGCAAAGACACACTGACAGGCCCTCTTTATGGAGACATTAGGGGTCTCCAACACCCCTAATGTCACCTGGAGACCACCAAAGAAGCTGATGAAGCAGAGATCTGTTTCATCAGCTTCTTCTCTCTGGCAATACCAGCCAGAGCACTGACAGGTGAATGCAGAAGTGATGCATTACACATAACTTCCACATTCACAGTACAGAGGGAAATCAGCAAGGAGGAAGATGCTGATCTCCCTCCCATCTTCCTCCTTTGCATGTCAAACAGCCGGTAACGGACAGGTTTTTTCTGCCCGGGAAGCAGAAACAAAAAAGCCCTCTAATTACGGCAACCCGCACATGCGAGTTTGCAGTCCGTCCATTTTTTCACGGCAAGTGGTTAATTTCCACCCAAAAAAAAAATTAGATCACCTCAGGGCAAAAAGTAATAATTTAAGGGGTGTTCATACTGTGCCGTATTTTTAAAAAAATTATTATTATAAAACAGAAAGGAAAAGTTTTTGTTTAAAAATTTCAGTAGTTTTCCCAAATTTCAGTAAAAAAGAATAAAATAAAAAGCAGTTATTAAGGCCTCATTCACGCTGCGTAAACTTGGGCCGCACACGTCCATATCGGCAAGTTCCCGGGAGGGACAGGTGCTGCGTGTGATTGCACACAGCAGCCAGTTCTTCCCTAAGGGAGGACGCGGCCGTAAGCTGTCCGCACACCCGAACTGCACATCCATGAGTGTACGGGTGTCCGTACTTAGACACGGACGGAATGGATCCTGTCTGCATCCAAGTATGGACACCCAGACCCGCACAGATGTGCAGTTGGGGTGTGCGTACGGTCGTGTCCTCCAATAGGGAAGAACAGGCTGCTACATGCAGCACCTATCCCACAGGTATAGCCCGATACGGCTGTGCACGCCACATGGACGTGTACAGCCCGAGTTTACACAGTGTGAATGAGGCCTAAGGCCCCGTTCACATTGAGCGGTTCGCAAATCGCGCGATTTGCATTTTGTGCGATATCGCGCAATTTGTCGCGCGATATCGCGCAAATGCTTGCATTGAGCAAGCTTGAATCACGGCTAAATCCGCTCCAAAAAGGGTCCTGCTGTAGCGACGCACGACTCGCGACAGCAGGACCCTTCGCCCCATTGAGAAGCATTGGAGAACGATATCGCGCGTTAAATTGCCACGATAAATCGCTCAATGTGAACGGGGCCTTAATATCACCAAAAGAAAGCTCTATCTGCTTTTATAATATAAAATTAATTTTAGCAGTGTTACATTACAGAATTGTTACTCAATGACAGCACTAAAAAAAATGGCCTGGTAATGAAAGGGTACATACAGGCTGGCACTCAAGTGGTTACATTAATTTTACACATATATACACGTATCTTCCTCTTGGACTTCACAAGATGTGTTGGGTGTTGCACCAATCAATATGGTTGACCTTCGAAGTAGATTTTTTTTCCTTCTGCATATGCAACGTAATCCTCCATATGTCCTGTTTATCGCTGTTGTGGATTCAATTCCCCCACACCTGTGCAGCAGAATTCCTTTTCAGCCCACTAACACACAATATATACACACACTGGGAGCATGGGCATTTCCTTCACTGTTGCACACCCAAAGAACTGCCATCCAAATGGCAGCAAGATCCCACACATGTGCGCTAGTGGCCATTCTGTACTGCAACAAAGTGCATGCGCAGGATTTGCTGCCATATTGTGATGTAAAAACCATGTCCATGACATCCAGCGCATCACTACTACTGTATTATCCAGACATCCCACTATTACTGCGCATGTGTGAAAACGCAACGTTATCACAACATGGCATTGAAATTGCCCAAATGCGCAATAGTAGCAGTACAGAACAGCTACTACCACACGTGTGGAATCTTGTCACTATACTGACGGCGACCTTTTGGGAGCGTGAGATAAACTCCTACTACCACCACTTCGTACCCCACTGTTCACCACTCTGCTGGTTCCCCCTTAACACTTTGCTGCACCCACACTCTTCTCTTTCACCACTCTGCTGCACAACCCCCTGCCCTCAGTAAACGTCTCCTCCCCCACCCCAATATCGCTCCCGAAGCCTGCACCTCTACTCCAGTGAAGAGAATTAATTGCATAAGTACTCAAGTCTCCCCCATTCCCTCACACACTGTGTTTCCTCCAACAGAGCCCTATACCATACATTTTGCGATGGAGTTTCTGTAACAGACAGAGCGACGACCACCTGCATCATTAAACATATCACACCGTGATCACCTGAATATAAGTTTTCTGGGGAGTTATTCAGAAACCGTGGGGAAAAAAAAGGGGGAGAAAGCACTCTCTCTTCCAGATCTCCCCTAAAATACATCCATGCCGCACACTGCATAACACCGTAACGAGATAATCCAAAAACCCTGTGCAAGGCTGATCAGCAGCCTACATTAACAGAACGCTACAAATGTACGATACACGCAACCTCAAACCCTGCATTACAGGATCACTCCACAAGTTTAAACATGGCTGCGTTTTTGCTCCCCTACAGGCGATCACCAAAAACTCATGGATTCCCACTTCTCTCTGCTCTAAAACCCTGGCAATAACCACAGGATGACAGAGAGAGAAATGTGGATAACCAAACATAACGAAAGATAAAAGTAAATACACATCGTAGCGGAGAGATGGCAGCGGATTAGAGCCTACCACTCAAGAAACTCACCTCTCTTAGACATCTTGTTTCCCGGAAAAAGAAAGCTGCCCGTAAAGGACGCTGGGATATATCATCCGTCGCGCGAACAGTGGTGTCACGTGACATTCTTTGGCAGCGCATTTTTGACGTATTAGCCACTTTCACTGTCAGGAGCGTAGTGTCCAGTACGGGTGTAAAAATATAACTTATGTTGAACTATACGCAGGTTTTGAACAAATGTTTATGTACTTTTACCCAAAAGATAAGTTAATTGCGTAAACGTTAACTTAGGGACAATATTTACAGGTTGATAAAGAGAGTGGCGCCAGGGTCCCTCTCTCCCCCCTCTCTCTCACCCCCCCTCTCTCTATGTGCAATAGCCAGCCGGCTATTGCAATTAGAAATAGCCAATAGCCGGCTGGCTATTGCACCCACTATCTGCTGTCAATCAGCAGGAGGACCTGTAGGAGAACTTTCTGCTTCAGGTCCCTCCTCTGCTGATTGACAGTGGAGGGGGCAATAGCCAGCCTGCTATTGGCTATTTCATATTGGAATAGCCAATAGCAGGCTGGCTATTGCACCCATCCCTAACACAGCTCCTATGTGATAGCGTTTGGAGGTGACAGGTTCTCTTTATGGAGCCTGCCCTCCAGTACAGAAGATCGAGCACAGCATTGTGCTGGATAGTATGTAATTATGTGCAATAGCCAGCCTTGAAATAGACAATAGCAGGCTGGCTATTGCAGTCACCCACTACCTGCTCTCAATCAGCAGAGGAGGATCTGTAGGAGAACCTTCTCCTTTAGGTCCCTCCCCTGCTGATTGACAGCAGGCACTGGGCGGGTGCAATAGCCAGCCTGCTATTGGCTATTTCAAATTGGAATAGCCAATAGCATGCTGGCTATTGCACACACCCACTGCCGGCTGTGTTTACATTCAGCTGCCTCTGCATGCAGCTGTCATGTGTGCTTGAATAGCTCTTTTGAATTGGAAAGGTGACACTAGGGTTTTAATAGACCCCCTAATGTCACCTTAAAGAAAACCATCTCCAATGTGCTATCACATGTGAAAGTAATGAAGTTAAAAAAAGTTTAAAAAATAAAGGTAAATTGAATAAATGTAAAAATACCAAAAAACAATGTAAAGTCCTGCGCGAATGCGTGCATATGAATGGAAACGCAAGTCGGGTGTACCTACGTACAAAAATGACGATTGCGCTACACATGTCAGGTATTGCTACAGTGAGAGTGAGAGCAATAATTCTTTGGCCAATATTCATGGCTAACTCTAAACTGATGACCGGGCTTTTATATTTTTATAATATATTTACATATATATATATTTATATACATATATATATATACACACACACAGTGCCATCCGCAGTCACTTCAAACACCCACGCCTACAGAGATACCCGGTAAGGAGTGCAGCAGGATTCTGGAATATATGGAGCATAAGTGCGGACGCATACGCAGTAGAGATCATCGACGGGCAGAAGAGGAGAGACTCACTGTAGGTCAATGCACGCAGCCGTGGGTGTGCCGTCGGACAGACACCTAGAATAGGCAGAGAGTCTGCGCTGGATCAGAGACCGGCACCAGCGCTGGAGGGACTGGAGGGACAAGTGGAAGGAAGAAGATTATCGGATCAAGAGGCAACATTTAAGGTAAGTCCTGACCGCAGCATTTGGGGGGAGGGGGAGGTTACTTTAGTGTCACTTTAACTCTTGTAGTGGGGCTACCCCTGCACTTTATTGCCTCCTTGTTCTGCGGCTCCCTCCTCACAGCGGCCGGCGGGCCCCATACTATCTCAGCCGGCGGACAGGCCCCTCCATTTCAGTGCTAGAGTCCTGGCAGTGTGAGGCTCGAAGAAGGTCCCGGTGGCGGTCGGGTGTGCTCATCTGGCATGGGAGTCTGGTCTGCAGATCCGGCTGATTGAGGGTGTCCCGCCGGCGTCCGGGTCACAGGCACAGTGGTGGGCCGCAGCGGTTCCGGCGGCGCCATGCGGCCGGCCGTCACGGACCGTGTGGAGACCGAGGGAAAAGGGAAGAAGGGGTGTAGGTCACCCGAGAGGTGCCTGTGAGCGTCCCCTGCGGCTTTGCACCTCTTGGACATCGGGCGAGAGCTTGTGGATGAGACGGTAAGTGAGTGATGCCCGGGTAGCAGCGGAGCTCAGTGAATCCGTGTCTCTACTCCGCCATAGCCAGGCCACGCCCCCAGCCCTTCATTTTTTAACTGATTCGGGCTGGCCCCCATTTTCTGACCTTGGTTCCCGCTCTGACTTTGCCATCCTGACTTTCTGGCATGAACTACAACTTTCTAATTTCTTCCACTTGCTTCCAACTGCTCGTGACTTCCATAGACCACTTTCCCCCTTCGAACAAGAATGTACCCGCAACGGCCAGGCCTGCCACGCAGTCTCTTTTTGTTACAAGCTCCTGCTTGGTTACATAGTTACATAGTATTTGAGGTTGAATAAAGACATAAGTCCATCGAGTCCAACCTATTGCGTGTATGCATTTATGTTTGAGCTGGTGTGTGTATGAGTCCATGTGTGATTTTGCTCTTAGGAGTACCTGTACCCCTGTGTATTGTTTCCTGTTAAGCCTGAGTCCCCAGTACTGTAAACCTGCTTCTGTTCCCGAGTCCTGTATCCTGTTTATGTTCCCTGCTTGTTGTCCGGAGCTGTGACCTGCTTATGTTCCTGAGTTCTGTTAGCTCCTTGTACCCTGACCTTTTGTCCCTTAGTTCCCCCGGTGTTTTACTTTGCTCCCTGGGTTTGCTTGCCTGTTACTTTTGACTGTGGTGTGGTTTAGATGTAGTTGGTTGCTAATACTTGTTC